CTTTGCTGAGTTGAAGAGCGATGTGTGAGGTAAACTCTGCCTTTCCTGTGTACTACACTAACAAGACCACCAATCTTAGATTGGCAGCTTTTAATTAGTGATAGTGGAGTGTATCAAAAGATACGCTGTTGTTGAACAGGTGGACAGGTGCAAAATGGGTTGTTTGTTTTGTGTATAGATGTTGTAATATTGTATGTAAGGGTTGTTATAATTGTAAAACCAAAATATTGGGGAACAAATAATATTATGGAGTGAGCAGTGATTTGCCTGTTATGTGGTGAAATGAATGCAGGAAGTCTGCTGGGGATAAATTACAACTGGGAGGAATTGCCTCCTTATATAGACAACAATGAGGTATTTTGGCTCCAGGGGAGCCAGGAATGAGGGATTTTGGCTGGTTGTACAGCCTTACATGAGTTAATTTGGCCAAGATGGAAGAATACATGAGGGGTTTTGGCTGGTGGTACAGCCTACATGATGTGATTTGAGAAGTTGAGTGGTTTCCGTCGGACTATGCAACCTAGCAACCTGCAGGCTGTGTTCTGTAAGCCGCATGATGTCATCCTGTATTTGAGGCTGTACCCATCGCATGAAAGGTTGCCAAGGTAACCTGTATGCTGTGCCTGCATACTTCCATTGTACTTGCTTGAGATGTACAGATGCCAGTTCACATGGCCCAGAGGGGTGAAATGTGTACCTGATGTCCTTTTAACATGTAAGGGTGCTACCCCCCTACCTGTGAGCAAAAGAGGGGTGTAACATGCAACACAGGGGGGTTACATGTGTCCAAGCCTGCTCCTCAAGGGTTAAGTTTGGCCCTGGGATCCATTCCTGGAGCCCTATATGGTGTAATATTATTGTATATACAAGAAAATGTAAAATTTTTGAAGTTGTTGGATGGGAACCCATAAAGTATCCCACATCCTCCCCCAACTTATTGTCTGTCCCCAGAAAATTCCGCCAAAAAGTTGTTGTTGTGGGCATTCTGCACTGCAGTGTTAAATCCATTCCTTTAAGCTTAAAAAATATTCACAGTGGAGTTTAATAAATTTCAGAGTTGTGTTTGGCCAATTTTTCAAAAACTGGGCCACAATCTGCCTGTGTACCCCCCTTTTGCACATTGTCATCAGGGGGGTTTGTTGGTTCTCACTTTTTTTTAGTATGATTTTTTTTTTATTTTTTATTATTTTGCTTTGGGTCCGGATTTTTGCTGCGCGCGCAGTCCGCAGTTGCGTCGTTGTGTGGCTGTCTGGGCCTTATCGTGTATTTGTATCCTTGAATCCAGTTGCAGGGGGTGCGCAGTAGGCGCAGCGCGGCCTTGGGGTGATTTTTGGCTCAAGATCGGGTTCAGAGAACCCCGGGGACTTTCTGAAGAGTTGCCGGGCTGTATATACTACTGGCTGGCTTAAAACTTACCCGGCTGTGGGGTACACAGCCTCTGGGTGTATAAGGGTACAGCCTGAAACTGGAAGGTTCCAGTCAACCAACTCCAATAGGTGATTCAATTCCAAGGGATTGTTTATAACCAACCAGTCAATTGAAAGCTCTAGCTCTGAGAGGTATGTGATTCTTTTTTTTTATTTTTCTTTACTCCATTCCTCCTTTTGAGCTCGGATTAGTTTGTCTCAGTGTTGTTGACTCTTTCCTTCATCACTTGATCAGCCACATGACCATCTACCGGGACATCTAATTGATTGGAGACAAAAAAAACAAGCTCGCATCGGCCTTTCCATCGTTGCTGTCGCTGTCCCTCAAAAGGAATCCGTCAGGGTTGGTTGATTGGTTGCGCTTCTAGTTTTAGACCAAGGTGAGTTTGTTTCTTTTGCTTCCAAGTTCGTTTCAAATTGACAACTAGCAAAAAGATTGATTGTTCTCATCAATCTACTTTTTTCACATTGTTTCGTCGGTCGTTGATCTGTTTTGTTTGATTCTGACTGAGTCCAGATTCATTGATTGTTGCTTGCCAATCACCAATACTGTAAGTCAACATCGATTCCATCTGTTTTTCTTTTTATCAATCATTAATGCTGTATCGATCCAAGCCCAAAAAAACTTGATTTTGTTTGTTTTAGTCAATGATCGATCCGTCCAATGTGTTTGTAGATTGTCTTGATAATTTCTCATCAATATAAGCTACAAAAATAGAAGGAGTTCATTCAGAAATGGCTTCATAAAAAAGGGCCCTCCTCCCCCCAACTTAGAAGGTTGTCCTCAACCTTTAAGAGAGAGACTTTGGGAAAGAAAAAATGAAAAAATTGGTTTGACCAGACCAACCCTCCTCCCCCAACTTAGAAAGGTTGTCCCCAACCTTAAAGAAGAAGAGTGAGAGTATGAACCTGAGCCTTTGAGACAGACCAACTCAATACAAAGTTTTGAGGTTGAACTGCTCTAGAAAAAATGTAAAAAGGACTTGAGCTCTAGCAGTACAACTTTTTTTTTTATGCTGAACTGATAGAACAAAAGTAAGAAATACAAGCAGACCAAACAATTTTCCAAGAGGAAAGAGTTATGCCAGCCTGGGTGATGCCAAGAGCTAGACTCTTCTAGCTACACCAGGTGCAAAGCTAAGAAAAATGGTATACAAGTGTGGGTAACACTTGGAATGGGGAGGTAATTGATATTAAGAAAAGAATTAATAAAAACTGTTAAGTTTTTATAAAAGGAGGGGCCTGAGTTACAGGGGTTTTTATGGTGCCCTCCAATGAATCAGGACCTGTTAAACAGGGGTATTTTTGATGTACCTGATGATCTGGTCTTTTGTGTAAAGGAGTATGCCCAGACAAAATGCCTACAACTAAAGTATCAAGGAGATATTACCTACTTAGTACTATTTCCAAGCCAAGGGGACTTCAGGTGGGTTAAAACTGGTCTGGGAGCGCTCAGAAAACTGGGTAACAGGTGTTGGAAGAGTGCTGGGGAACAGTTGATGGTTGGGTTGGTGATATCCAAGACAGAAACAGCAGGAACTGGGCCAAAAACAGGTGAAAAACTGGTTGTTGGAGGTGGTTATTGCTGGTAAGTGGTAATGAAGATGGGGAATCAGAGTTTGGGGGCAAGAAGGGCTCCTTATATACTCATTCTGGGCCCTTGGAGGCAAACTCAGAACTCTGTTTGGCTGGTGCAAGCCTCCTACTAGGCATTGGTGACCTGTAGCACAGCCTAGACACCTGTAGTCCTTGGTTACAGGTGGCAGAGGGCTGAAGTGAGGCTTGTAACACACACTAAGGGGTGCTGTGACAAACCTGCAGCCCATGGTTTGGTCACTGGGACCCTTTAATGACAAGTGGGCTGGTCTTATCAGGCGTAGTTAGCCTAAATTGGGCCAAAAAGGGCACAAATGGCCTTTTGACCACCAGTACAGTGTGTGACATGTAGTAAGGTTTCATGATGTCACCCTTATTTGTAGATTTTCCCGACTGCATGAACCTT